GAAGTCCAGTGAACACTACTATCATCCAAATATATGCACCAACAACCAGAGCCAAAGAAGAAGAAATAGATGATTTCTACCAACTCTTACAGGCAGAGATAGATTGAATATGCAATCAAGATGCATTGATAATAATGGGTGACTGGAACAAACTAAAATGGCAGTTAAAATAAATTATGGTACGTACATTAATATAGTAATTACTTAACTGATTGAAATTATTGTATACTGCAAGTTGTATTAGATCACTGATGTAACAGGCATTGAGTAATCAGTAATTACACAGACTTCACTTCTTGCTGTGAACAGCTTGGGAAGGAAAGAACTGAATCAGGAAATTACTATTTGGATCTACAGAACTTCATGGAACACCTCATCTTGATCAAGATTAGACAACTCCAAAGAAAATTGAGAAAACAAAAAGAAAGGGTTTTAAATCCAACTGTGCAACAATAACATGTACCAGATTTTTTATAAAAAGTTGACCATAATGGCCTGCTCACATGGAGACTATAATAAAATTAAAATGGTGATACATACTCTCAGACTTCATACAAACTCAGTTACAAACATAAAATGTGTTCTGGCCACTTTTTAGAAGAGTTATCTGTATCTATCTGCCTGTCCCTCCGTCCCTCCCTCCCTCCCTCCCTCCCTCCATCCATCCATCAGCTTGCCCCTCCTGCTGCCCCGTTGATTTTAACTGGCGACAAGCCCACCTGTCCCCAGGGCTGCACACTTTAGTGGGAGCAGACTGTCGGCTCTCCCTTCCACAGGGAAGGTGGGGATGCTAGTTGAGATGTTTTAGTTAGCAGTCCAACACACGGCACACTGCACCACCAGGGTTCTTTATAGATGGACCCACTAAAATACATCATTTGATGTACTCTGGTTCAAAGCATATTCTGTGTAATCTTCAGGAAATACACTCTTTTCTATCCTTAGCTTTAGCTTGTTGAGGGCTCTGAACCCCACAAAGAATCATGGGCCAGTGCTCTGGAAGCCCCACCTCCTTATGGGAAGTTCTTCTGTGTCACACAGCACTGGGAGTTGGAATTGTCTGAGCAGCACCTACCCACACTCTTTCATGACAGTTCCCTGGCAGAGACATGGTTAAGCACACAGTTGCGAGTCTAAAGGTTAATGGTTCCAATCCACCCAGTAGCTTCACAGTAGAAAGACTTGGCAAGAGGCCCTGCAAAGACGGCAGTGCAGGAGACCCTGTGAGATCGTGCCCCTTGCTGGCATGAGGGCACCGGGGTCAGCACAGACTCTAAATCACCTAGTAGAAGCAACCAAATACATAAACAACCCCTACAACACACCATCTCTCCAATACAAAGGACTCTGCAGAGCTCTGCTGACCCAGCGGTTAAGTGCTGGACTGTTAATAGAAAGGTTAGTGGTTTGAAACCATCAGCTGCCACCACCACCCATACAGACCACCCACAGGGACCACAGGACACACCCACTATCCACACAGACCACTGACACCATGTGGGACACACCCACCACCCACATGGACCACCCATGGGGACACACCCACCACCCACACGGACCACCCACAGGGACACACCCACCACCCACAAGGACCACCCA